CCCCAAAACCCCAAAACCCCAAAACCCCAAAACCCCTCCTGAAATAATAATAATTGAAAATGGAGGAAAGCGTATTGAATGCATTCAAAGAAATCTCTCAGAGGGAGTATCTTAACTCATTCTTCTCCTACAGTGAAACAGTTGATATTTACCATACAATATTGCTACTGAAGAACCAATATGCAAATACTGAAGAGTCTCCTGAAGAAGGAAAGATAGGAGAACCTGTTACCATAAATAACAAAAAGAACTATATCACTCCTAAATTTGAAGGTATATATATGATATTTGAAACTAAACAAGTGCTGTTTACTTTCATTGAGAAGTGCCAAGAAGGTCTCGAAATTCACGGGCTTCCACAAAAACAAAGCTTATATTCCCTCTTCCTTCTACAAATGGGTCTTTATATTATCAAACAAGATGACGATCTCGACGACAGCTTTATCCCTTTCGACATCGAAGACGAGACTCGGTTGGTAAAATCCATGTACATCTCTCGACTCCTAACATCACTATCTCTCCCTCCACCCTCCCTCTCCACTGCCTCTTCCTTCCACACTCTCCTCTCCTTCTCCCAGACCCTCACCGCCTACACCCACAAGCTCTCCACACTGGACACCTCCCTTCTACAGTCAGACCCCAATTCCTTCCTTGACCTAGAATTCGAGACCAAGGTCAGCCTGAACAACCTGTTCCTCCTGATCATGAACAATTATGACAGCCCAGAGATGAAGCAGGAGATTGCCAAACCTGTCTACAGGCTTGAGAGAAACTCCTTCGTGGTTATTAGGCTGAGCCTAGAGCTGCCCATTGGACCGATTAGGAAGAGTCTTATTATGTTTTATCTTTATATGAACAGTCTTTTTGGGGACTTAGAGATCCCTCCAAACGAGTCGGAAGAGGATAGTAAGGGATATGTTAAGGTAAGGATTCGGCTGAGACTTTAGATAACACCACGGCTTATGGATTTTGTTGAAGTGCATAGAAATTTAGACTCGGGAAATCCGGTCGAGAATTTTTATAAGAAGCATATTGTTAATGTCAAGGATAACCCGATTCCTCAGATTCTTGTAGTGGCTATTTTAAGAATCTTGCTGACAACCTGTCCTAATGCGAATAGGTCCTCAGGAGGAATCGACCTCCATAGAGAGTGGATCTCTAGTATCAGCCTTCTAGTCAAATATCCTGAAATTTACTCTATATTTATCGAAAACAAGGCGGATGATTGCCCGCTAATCCACAACAGGATTATTAGCCTTTACTCAAATAAAGAAGAAAGTAAAGAAGAAAATAAAGATAGGGACAATAGCGACGACTCTGAGAAGGAATCAAACTCTGAAGAGGATCAAGACTCAAATAAAAGTAAAGATAGCTCTAATGAAGAAGACACGAAATATTTCAAACTGTTTGCAGAAGGAGAACTAGACTTGGCTGTGTCTGACTTATTCAACTTCGAAAATTACAGACATAGTATGATTTCAGCGAAGTTCATCGGACAGCTATTGCTTTTTATACAAAGAAAGTTCCAATACAATCATGTAATTCAAGGAGTTTATTTCTCTTCTCTAATAGTAGACGCCAATGGAATTAAAGTACTGCTGAAATTCCTGAACCAAAACTTCCATGGGTCAAGTAACTACTTACTTCGACGTAGTGATGCATTGAGTATAATCTGTGCAGATATCCTCCCGTCTCTGAAGGAAGGAACTTTGGAAAATATTCATCCCAGCCAGAGCAGTCAGATAGAGGCATATAACGATGAGATATTTTCTCGTGTTAAATATGTCATTCATAACACAATTAGACCTGTGCTTTACCTAATGCATGCTGTTTCTTTCGGTCAGTATGAAAGGATTGAGCAGAATCTGATAGGCTACAAAGCTATCAAAATTATGTCAAGAATTGCTGAGAACTTCAGTGATACAGATAACAAAACTATTGCTTATCAGATCATTAAGATCCAGATCCAGTACATAAAGGACAAAGGCATGAAGAGTAATTCCTCAAACAATATAATGAAGGCTATTTCCAAGGTTTATGAAAACATCAGGCTTGAAAAAGGTAAGATTCTTCTTTCACTCCATAGACGACATTGGAGACTGGATCAAACTTGCTGAAGACACTGATTATGAGACAGAGGAGCTTAACCATAAGGAACTAGCCGATGTGAATAAAGAATTCCATCTCAGGTATTACTGGAATACATCTGCTCATTTCCAGGATCAACCGGGGGAAGATGACAGCAGTGACACAGAAAGTAGCAAAAGAAAGCCACTAGTTAAAACACTCAAACTCAAAAATGAGTATTACAAACTCATGTTGCAAGCAGAAGAACTTACTGATGACCAAAAAGAAAATTATATGAATTATCTTTAGAAAACCTATTTTGAGTAAGCAGGGGTTTTGGGGTTTTGGGGTTTTGGGGTTTTGGGG